GTGGCCCTTCTCTAGAGTTTTCCCAGCCTGGCCACGGGGACCAAAACTGATCGCAAGGCAGTGGGACACCTCCTGCCCTGGATGAGGTCCTCACATCAGCTGGAACACAGCCTGCCCCTCGGGACGTGAGGTGATTCTGGGGATTTGGTAAAAATTTGGCTTCCGTGCCTGCGGTGGGTGAGCCTCCCCAGCTCGTTGAGTTGGCTGTCGCCGATTTGAGGTGGAAGAGAGATCTTCTTGGCTGAGTCATGTCGGAGGTGGTTCGTGTGCTGCGGCCTCTGCCGGGAATTCCAGAGAGTTTCCACTTTGCATTTTACAAATAACACGACGTGCATTCAACGTACGCCTCCCATCAGCACTTACAACAAGAAACGTGCTCCAAGCGGCTCGCAGTTCAAGTGTCGCTTAGATGTGGTGTTGGGTGATATGGTTTAGGGGTGACCTTGTAGTGTAGGGTCAATGGTTGGACTCGATGATCCCAAGGGTCTTTTCCAACCTGAATTGTTCTATGATTCTATGGTTCTGTGAAATATCTGGATACTAAACCTTTACAAACAGGTGCACGGCTGTTTCCGGGCAAAGGTGTTTATGCCGTGTCAGTCAGCATTCCTCCTTCTCTTTGAGTAATTTTCAGATTGAGTCACTTGGACGCGCCATCAGAATGCATTTTAACATTTGCATACTACAAATATTAGTAATTCAGGCTGCGTGCCCTATGTTGCTCTCTACAACTCCTTGACAGGAGGTTGTAGAGAGGCAAGGGTTGTTCTGTTCTCCCTCGTGGCGAGTGATGGGACAAGGGGGCGCTTGCTCGAAACGGGGATCTCTAAGCTTGTGCACTTTTAAAGGTTCTAAAATGACAAGAGACCTTCTGTGATTTGCCCCAAGATGGGTTGTTTGGGCTTATTTGTGGTGTTTAAACTAGCCCTGTGTTCTGTGCTCGTCTCCTGCTCCTGGTTGCCAAGAGTTAGCAGGAAGGTTGGCCAGTGGGTTAAACGGGGCTCTTAAATAGCCTCACCCAGATTGGAGGGCTTCATGAGTACGTTTTTAATTTTAGGTCCAGGAAATCAGTTCTGCAGGGAAAGCCAAGCCTGCTGGGTGCTGTGGGCAGGAGGTTGGTGCATTGCTCCCCCCAAAAAAACCCCAGAACACCAAGGAACAGAAAGCACCAAGGATGCTGCGTGTGGGGTGGGTGGATGCTCGCTGCTGGGCTGGTTTCTCTACAGGGGAAGAGAACAATTTAGAAAAACTTGGGCCCTGCTGAGCAGCCCAGAAGCGACAGCATGTGCCGAAACGGGGACTCGGCGCAAAATGATGCCGTTCCCAGCTCTCTTGGGGCTGGCACGAGCAGCAGGTGGAAAAACCAGCGCTGGTGGCTGGGCCGAGGCGCGAGAAACCCGAAGCCTACGAGGTAATGCTGTGTGTGCAGCACTTGGAAAGGTCACAGGTGGCTGATGTAAGGACTGGATTCCCCGTAATGTGATAAACGGTTTGGGCGCAGTGCCGTGGAGCCACTTATTCTCGTGGATCTGCAGAAAGCAGGCGGCGGGGTTTGTGCACAGTCCTGCAACGAGCCAGTGACATGCTCCCGCGGCCAAGGCGGCCAACGGCGTCCTGGGGGACATCAAGAAGAGCGTGGCCAGCAGGTGGAGGGAGGTCATCCACCCCCTCTGCTGCCCTGATGAGGCCGCATCTGGAGAGCTGGGGCCAGTTCTGGCCTCCCCAGTTCAAGAAGGACAAGGAGCTGCTGGAAAGAGCCCAGTGCAGGGACACCGGGATGAGAGGACGGGAGCATCTCCCACCCGAGGGAAGGCTCAGAGAGCTGGGGAGACTCTCAAACCCCACCTGGACGTGTTCCTGTGGGATCTGCCCTGCGTGACCCTGCTCTGGCAGGGGCTTGGACTGGATGATCACCAGAGGTCCCTTCCAACCCTGACCATTCGGTGGTTCCACGAGATGGGGCAGGCAGCCTTGCCGTGAGGCCAAGGGGCAGCTCAGGGTGCTCCGATCAGCCAGGGTGGGCTCAAGCATCCCCTGGGAGTTGTGTGAAAGTGAAGAAGCTGAGGAACCACCACGAGGCAAGACCTCCAGGTCTGTACACCGTCCAAACGCCAGCCCCACGTCGGGATCGATGCTTTGCATTCTCACCCGGAGAAGGAAAGCCCTGGAGCTGCTCGGGGTTTTATTTTTAATGCCACCCTCCTATACGTGGTCCCCAGGAGCATCTCTCTGAGCTTTGCCTCCTTGTTTTCCTTTTTTCCTGACACAAAAGCTGCTGCAGACCTGGAACGTGGCGCAGGCGATGTGTCCGTGCCTCTGCCCGGGCTCAGTGACTGGCCACAGGCAGTTTTGCTTGCAGAGCATTGTTTGCTGAGCTGCTTCTCGGCTGACAACTCCCATTGTGCCAAATACTAAAAAAAAAAAAAAAAAAAGAAAAAAAAGAGAGAGAAAGGCAGAAAGAAAAAAGAGCCCAAACCACTTTTTGCAGTGTGGCGTGCTTGCTTCTATGTGTAAAGGCAGTTTAACATGCTGGGCAGCCTTTTGGAAAAATAACCCCACTCTCTTTTCCAAACAGAACTTCACCGCTTCGCTGAAAATGTCTGGCAAAACGACGAGCACGACCAACAACATAGCCCAGGCCCGAAGGACTGTCCAGCAGTTAAGAATAGAAGCCTCAATAGAAAGAATAAAGGTGAGACCACATCCTTTTTCACTCCTTTTTTTTTTTATTTTTTGTATTTTCTCCCTTCCAGCTGCAGGGCAATAAGGTAGTGGGGTGTGCACCCGCAGTTCAGTGTTTTTCCCATCTCGTCAACATGTCAGATCAACAAAATCTGAATAAATCTAATTAATGTGGCTGCCTACCAGCGATACCCGCAGGTAGCTCAGTGTTCTGTGGGCTTGTAGGAGAGCCAAAGCCAGATACGAGGTGAAAACCAAACATGTGAACCAGAAGGAAGGTTTTCATTTCCAGTTTCATGCATGTTGTGTGATTTTGTTCTGTCCTTCAGCTGGCTGAACCCTGCATCTGCGAGGAAGGTGCATGCGTAGGGACACTACTGGGGAAAAAAAAAAAAAAGGCAGCAGAAACTGGATTCATTTAACTTAAGGAAGAAAAGAAACCAGACTTTTTTTTCTATTTGGCTGTGCTCCTTGAACTGCTGCCCAGTCCCTTTTGGAGAGCAGCAGAACCAACATGCAGGTTCCCGGAGCAGCGGCGGGGTGGTCGGGAGTGGGGCCGTGCCGGGGCGAGCTCTGCTCTGCCTTCCCGGATGGGCCGGTCATCTGAGGACACCCCTGTTTACCATCCCCAGCTTTAGAGATGAGGAGTTCCTCGTTACAAACCCGCTCTATTAGTTTGAACCTCCTGCTGTTTATTTTTAGTCTTCTGGAGAAGCCGGGTGGGAACCTGGTGGTGCCTTTGCTTCATGTCACAAACTGACCCCAAAGAGCACCAGGCTCCATCCTTCCTTCCAACCTGGGCTCCGTCCTTCCCTCCTCTCCAGGCTCCATCCTTCCTTCTTCTCCAGGCTCCATCCTTCCTTCTTCTCCAGGTTCCATCCTTCCTTCTTCTCCAGGCTCCATCCTTCCCTCTTCTCCAGGCTCCATCCTTCCCTCTTCTCCAGGCTCCATCCTTCCCTCCTCCCCAGGCTCCATCGTTCCCTCTTCTCCAGGCTCCATCCTTCCCTCCTCCCCGGGCTCCATCGTTCCCTCTTCTCCAGGCTCCATCCTTGCCTCCTCCCTGGGCTCCATCTTTCCCTCCTCTCTGGGTTCCATCCTTCCCTCCTTTCCAGGCCCCATCCTCCTCTTCTCTCCAGGACCCGTCCTTCCCTCCTCCCCAGAATCCACCCATCCCTCCTGCCTGCAGCTGAAGCTGGAGTGAGCCCGTGGCAGCATTTTTTGCAGGACACGGGGCTCTCCAAGCACCTCTCCTGCCCGGGGACCTTGTACCCATCAGCAGCTCTCGCTTTTCCCTGCGAAACACCATTTTACAGTCGGTGTTTTTTTTTTCTTTCTCCCCCGTCTTCGGCAGGTGTCGAAAGCGTCAGCAGACCTCATGCTGTACTGTGAAGAGCACGCCAAGAAGGATCCGTTGCTGATGGGCATACCCGCTTCCGAGAACCCTTTCAAGGACAAGAAGACCTGCGTTTTGTTATAGGAGAGTGGCGGCTCCTCCGCAGCCCCTCCCGGGGCAAAAACAGCCATGAAAAATGCCCCGTCAGGTACCAAATCCCCCGTCAGGTACCACATCCCTGTCAGGTACCAGCTCTCCCTGGAGTTAAGAGCAGCTGGCTGTTCTTTCCCCAAGCGTAGAATCGATTCCTTCAAAGCTCTCTTCAAGCATTTCTTCTGTTCCCTGCCTTTATTAGGAAGCGAG